GAGAACTTCAAAGAGGAAATCACCAAATCAATACCATTTACAATAGCCCCCAAGAAGATAAAATACTTAGGAATAAATCTAACCAGAGATGTAAAAAACCTATACAAAGAAAACTGCAAGAAACCAAAGGAGACCTACATAAGTGGAAGAACATACCTTGCTCATGGATAGGAAGACTCAACATTGTGAAAATGTCAATTCTACCCAAAGTGATCTACAGATGCAATGCAATCCCGATCAAAATTCCAATGGCATTTTTTTAATGAGATGGAGAAACAAATCACCAACTTCATATGGAAAGGGAAGAGGCCCCAGATAAGTAAAGCATTACTGAAGAAGAAGAACAAAGTGGGAGGCCTCACACTACCTGATTTTAGTACCTATTATACAGCCACGGTAGTCAAAACAGCCCGGTACTAGTACAACAGATACATAGACCAATGGAACAGAATTGAGAATCCAGATGTAAATTCAACCACCGCTGATATTTGACAAGGGACCAAAGTCTGTTAAATGGGGAAAAGACAGCCTCTTTAACAAGTAGGTGCTGGCATAACTGGATATCCATCTGCAAAAAAATGCAACAAGGCCCATACCTCACACCATGCACAAAAACAAACTCAAAATGGATCAAAGACCTAAATATAAAATCTAAAACAATAAAGATCATGGAAGAAAAAATAGGGACAACGGTAGGAGCCCTAGTACAGGGCATAAACAGAATATAAAACATTAACAACCTAGGTGCCCATCAACAGATGAATGGATAAACAAATTATGGTATATTCACACAACGGAATACTACGCAACAATAAAGAACAATGATAAATTCGCGAAACATCTCATAATATGGATGAATCTGGAAGGCATTATGCTGAGTGAATGCTTGCTTCCACCAGTATTATTCAATATTGTTCTGGAAAGACTAGTAAATGAAATAAAGCAATAGAAATAAATGAGATATATAGGAAATGGTAGGAAGAAAAAAAGTATAAATATTTGGGAGGGAAAATATCATTATTTTCAGATGCTATGATTTTCATACCTAAAAACTAAAACTATCAACTGAAAAATCAACAAAGCACTAAGAAGAGTATTGCATAAAGTAGATCAGCACAAGTTAAATATACACTGTTTTGTATTTCCTACATACCGTTTAGAGAAACTATATTAACAATCTTCAGAAAAAGTGTTACAAAACTAGGGGTAAACAACAACAAAAATGTGTAAAGGCTACATGAAGGAAACATGTTCCTGGATGGGAATACTCATTGCATAGATTTTGACTCTTCCTAAATTAATCTGTAGATTTAATACAATCATAAACAAAATTCTAATGGGATTTTATGAAGAAAACTTGGCAAGCTTCTTAATGAAGTTTGTTAGTAAGAGGAGTGTGCAAGAATAGCCAAAGAAAGTTTTAAAAAGAAGGCATACTTCAAAATATACACTAACAATAATAATTATAAGATGTGTGGTTAATGCAGAAATAGAAATCTAGATCAAAAGGATAGACTAGAACCAGGCCCGTATACACGGGAAGGTTTCGTATATGATAAAAAGAAAAGGATGAGTGGCCTTTTCAATAAATGGGGAAAGGCTGTTCTATTCAGTAAGTGGTTGAACAAAGATCTAAGCATGAAAATCCAAAGTGATAAAAAAAAATCGAACAAAATATAGGAAAATATGTTTATAATCCAGCAGGCAGAAGCAAGGACAAGGAGAGACTTAAAATTTAACAGAAGGAAGTGAAATAAGGGAGTAAGGCATCCAGGTAGCAGGAGGGGATGGGCTCAAGGACCATGGCTGGAGGGCTTGGAAAATAATGGAGGAAGAAAGAGGAGGTGAAAACATGGTGATTTGGAGACGGAGAAAAGGCATTTTTGAGAGAATTCATATTTTTTCTGTAAAGCAGGAGGCAAGGTTATATCCTGAGAATATTCGGGGAGAGAGCATTGATGAAGTAGAATCTTACTTCTTCACTCCTTGGCTTCCGGTGTTAGTATGAGAAAGAATCACATGACTATTGAAGTCCATCCTGAATAACAAGATGCATGGAATCCAAACAAGTATTTTTGCACATTAGCTTTTAAAGGTGACATTTTAAATAAGAGAACAGCTGACTTAGAGTAAACAAGTAATTAGTCAATAAATTTGCAGAATTCTTGCACCTACAGAAGGCCATCCACAACAGCCTTTGGGCTCAACACTTAGAAAGTTCTTCACATACCAAGCCCACATGGGTTGTTTGAGTTTCTGCTCACTGCCTCGTTATGCCCATACAAGTACAGAAGACCAGTCTCGCACTGCCCAGCCTTTGCTTGTCCTAAGGTGGCTTTAACTGAGTTTTGGGAGAGGCTGGGTCCCTCCCTTGCGCCAATATTAAAAGCTTCTCCTGTATATGGGATGTAATTGCAGTTGAAACTCTTTTGATTTATATTGTGCCAGACACAGTGTGGGTGTAACTAGGATATAAAAAAGCATTGCATAACTTTGGTCTTAATGTGCAGAGAGGACTGTCTTTAAAATAACTGCCAAAATAAGTGGGATTCCGTGGAAAATAAATATCATTACTTTATAAATTTTTAAACAAATAGTGAAAGTATGAGGAGATATTTTTTTCCCTCAGGAAAAATAATAACAACAAGCCTTCGGGAAAAGTCAAGGTTAAAACCCCATCCTTGCTGTCTAATTACTCAGTATTGAAATAACAGTAGACAGAGGTTCCATTCTTTTTGAAAAAGTAAAATTGTACCTTAGGAAAGAACTACCTCAGGATGCTAGTGCCAAAATATAAACCATTAAAATATTTTGGCATCAAGAGTGATTTTGTGTTAAAAACCTATGAATAGAAAGAGCTGAACTTACAAGTATTAAACTTATTAAATGGATTCTTTTAATTCATACAGGAAATTATATAGAAACAATCCCAGCCTTGAGTCCTGGAATACATCTTAAAATTATTTGGATTGGAGAGAGAAGAGTATAGTGCTATAAAAACGGCCAGTTACAAACTTCAAGATTGTGCCCCCAAGTCTCTAATGTGAATTAGCTCAGGGATCATTTGACTTAAAACCCTAACATTTTCCCCTTATCAGGATTTGTGGGTCCCTCATCCCAACACTAACCAACCTAATAATGATCCTCTCCTGCCCACTGTCCCTTGGAATTTTCAGTGAATGGGAAAGGAAAGGGGAAAAGAGGGAAGAAGAGAAGAAACAGGCAGGGACAATAACGGACGGGTGGGGAGGAAAGGAGAGGAAAAGGATGAGAGGAGGAGAGAAAGGACTTGGAGAGGAGAGAGGGCCCTCCAAGGGTTAGCATGTGAGCTTTTCTAGGCTTTTCCTTCTCTCCTCTGGGTTTCAGAATCAAGTACAATGACATCCAACAAATGCAAAATGGTGGCATAATACAGTGGCCAGCACGGAACCTTACACATAGCAGGTATTCCATAAGTATTTGTTGCATTTTGTTCATTGGTGGCACAGTTTTTGCTGACCCTAGATCAGTGGCTATCCAAGCACTAAGCCAGAAGCCACATCAGAATCACACCTGAAGGAAGTCAGCTCTGAACCCTCTGCCTCATGCAATTGGTTTAAATCTGACCTTTCTGGATCAAAGTCATCGACAGCTGGGGATTTGTGCTTGTGGCCTTGCTGCAAAGTCAGATGCTTCTCCTTGGTGGCCAGAAACTCCTGCTCCAGCAGTTCAAGATGTCCTTGCAGTTTTCCCAGGACCTACAGCAATGAAGTCACTGTAATCATTCATATGCAAACCTGTGAGTGCAGTTGTTTTCCCAGAAACATAATGAGAGTGTGCCTTCCAGTAGTGTCAAAACCAAGGCACCATCCTCCTTCTGGCAGCACCAATTGTTTTGTTTCAGAACTGACATCTAAAAATACACAACCTAAGATCCATATTGACATTCACAACACCCTCACAGTACATAGCTCAAAAAATACAGTTACTTCTGAAACTAAAGACACAAGGGAAAGAACAGTCCAAAGGACTAATAGACCACAGCTAATATAGCCTCCACCAGACTGAGTCCAGTACAACTAGATGGTGCCTGGCTACGACCACTGACTGCTCTGACAGGGATCACAGTGGAGGGTGCCAGACAGAGCGGGAGAAAAATGTAGAACAAAATTCTAACTGAAAAAAAAAAAAAGACCAGACTTACTGGCCTAACAGAGACTGGAGAAACCCCTAGAGTATGGCCCCCGGACACCCTTTTAGCCCAGTAATGAAGTCACTCCGGAGGTTCACCTTTTAGCCAAAGATTAGACAGACCCATAGGACAAAATGAGACTAAAGGGGCACACCAGCCCAGGGGCAAGGACTCGAAGGCAGGAGGGGACAGGAAAACTCATAATAGGGAAGCCAAGGTCAAGAAGGGAGAGTACTGACATGTCATGGGGTTGTTAACCAATGCCGTAAAACAATGTATGTACTAACTGTTTAATGAGAAGCTAGTTTGTTCTGTAAACCTTCATCTGAAGTTCAATTTAAAAAAAAAAATAGTTACTTCTGATTTCTCTCCCCAAACACACTCAGAGGCCTCTAAACTTCCTTAGTGGGACATTAATTAGCCCATATATTTGCAGAGTGATTTTCCACTTACAAAGCACTTTCTCATTCTTTATTCTATCTAATCCCCACATCAATGTCGTAAATGCTGCAACGTAGATTTTCTTATCCTCATTTTACAGAGGAGGAAATTGGAGTTCTGCTAGGAGGTATGTCTAAAGTCACTAGAACTTAAAAATGGGTTTGAGTCTATGGGCACTTGGAGGGTGAATTGGGGAAGGAACAGCTGAAAGATCTAACCAAAAGCTATGAATGGGTCTTCCAGACCTTGCCATGTGCAGCCTCGTGCAGGTGAATGTTTAAACTGTGCTGGTCAGGGGCTTGCTTAAAGATGTACAGAGTCTTCAGCCCTGCATCCCCAATCAGAAAACATTTCTTGAGCACTGCCCATGTCTGGCCCTGGGCCAGGGGTGTGAGAGATGAAAAATTGTGTCAGGCATAGACCCTGGTCTCAAGGATTTTATTCCCACTGGGTAAAGAGACCATGGATTGGTACTTTGCCGTGGCTCAATGGAAGAAATGAGACTTAATTCAGGCTTGAAGATGCTCAGAAGGGCCTGGAGCAGGTAGCATTCATGAAAACTGGAGAGGAAGGGATGAATTGGAGAGAGATTGCCAAGGAGAGAAATATAGTATAGTGAGACCTTGTAAGGTCAAAAACAGCAGAGTTCAAGTTCAGGCTCTGTCACTTATTGATTGTATGATTTTAGGCAACTTGAACTCTATAAGCTTCAGTTTGCTCATCTGTAAAATCAAGATCATAATAGCCCTCATCTCATATTGTTGTGAAAATTAAATGAAATAATGCATGAAATGCACTTGATATAGCACAAGGAGCACAGTAAATGCTCAATTGACAGTAGTTATGGCAATGATGATAATGATGATGGTTAAAAATGAAAAACAAGAGTTTGAAAACATACAGTTTGTTGTTGTTGTTGTTAGGTGCCATCGAGTCAGTTATGACTCATAGTGACCCTATAGGACAAAGTAGAACTGCCCCATAGGGTTTCCAAGGAGCAGCTGGTGAATTCAAACTGCCTACCTCTTGGTTAGCAGCTGAGCTCTTAACCACTACACCACCAGGGCTACTGGCTATAGCGCATAAAAAATTGCAAGTGTGGTAGGTGTATTCTACTTTCCCCACAGATCCATCCTCCATCTTTCTCTGTGCCCAGGAGGTTGACCTTTAATGAATTGCATCAGCAGTCTCCCTTACCCTCAGACTTGGTTGATTTCAGCCAATGGAAAACATGGGCAGCAGAGAGGGGTTGGAAAAGGTTGAGGTAAGAGATCTCCCCATGTCATCCTGGAACGGCTGTGCCACTATACCAAAGGCCACAGTGCTTGTCAGCTACTCCTACATCTACAGCTACTCTCTTCAGGCTCCAGTACCTGCTCCTCCCATGCCCCTTCAGACCTAAGGATGAAGCAGCTCCCCACTGTTACTTCCATGAGATGCTTTTCCATCCCTTATTTGTCTCCCGTGTAAATGATGCCTTATTAAATTCTCCTCGCTTACCTCATTCAGCTGAGTCATCTGGCTCCTGCCAGGACCCTGACTAATACTATAAATATCAAGACAATGCTTAGGTTTCTAGTTTGGGAGTTGGGAAGAATGTGATGCCCCTGACTAAAATGAGGAATTCGGAAAGGCTAACAAGTTTGAGCGAAGATGTCATTGTTGGCCAAGTTTGTGATGAGAGTAAGATATCAAGTGAAGACATACACAAACATTTGGAGCTACAGGTAAGAAGTTAGGACTGGTAATTTAGGAATTCGTAGCATGAAAATCGCATTTGAAGCCATGTGAGTGAGCTAGGTGTTCAAAGGAAAGAAGATAAGGAGGAAAGAGAGGAAAGTCAGTTATGAATTATAATTTAGGATCTTGGAATGCAAATTATGTTGAACAGTTTCTAAGTATAACCCATTACTGTCCAGTTGATTCCAACTCATAGCAAACCTATCAGACAGAGTAGAACTGCCCATAGGGTTTCCAAGGAGTACGTGGTAGATTCAAACTGCTGACCTTTTGGTTAGCAGCTGTAGCTGTTAACCACTATGCCACCAGGGTTTCCTCTAAGTATAAGTATACCTCATTTAATTCTCTTAACAACTCTGAGATGGGCAGACATGCTACAACATGTCTAAGATCATATAACCAATAAGTAGAACTAGGATGTAAACTCACTTGAATGTCTAAAATCCGAATGCTTTCTACTACACTGTGTGAACCAAGTTGAGAAGTTTTAGTCTTAGCCCTGTCTTCCAACACTGCACCAAATGGGCCTGGAACTCTCAGACCATTGTCAGGAGCCACCTTTACTCTCCTCTAAGTGCCAACCAGAATCCTGCTTACCCGCTAACATTAGGAAGAAGCTTCCTGAATGGAGGCCTCTGAAGACTAGTGCTTTGAACCAGTTCTCTCTGCTTTGCCCGCCCTTTTTAATTCTATGTTCTCCCAATTCCTGAAAGCCTGACTCTTTGGAAATCTCCTTTGTCATTGACTCCCTAACCCCTGAAATCTGCCTTCCCTGGATCCACTACTTCATTGAAACTAGGCTTGCTGAGGTCCCTCGTGACCTCCTGGTTGCCAAATCATGCTCACATCTTGCATTCCTTACTTACTGGAACATTTGATAGTGTGGCCCACTCCTCCTTCTTAAAACCCTCTTTCCCCGTGGCTTTCACAGCTCTGCTCCCTTCAGGTCTGCCTCTGACCTTTCAGGTTACTCCTTGTCAGTCTCCTTTGTAGACTCTCCTTCTTTCACCTGCCTCTGGTTTCTGTCTCCCATGATTCTATCCTTGGCCCTCGTTACTTCTCTACGTATTTTACCTGGGCAACCTCATCTACCCCATAGTTTCAACCCACAATACCCAAATCTACTTTTCTGGCCCAAACAACTCCTCTGAGGTCCAGATCCACTGCTCCAAATGCCAACTGGATGTCCTATTAAAAGCAAAACAAAAAAACGTGTTGCTGTCAAGTCAATTCCAATTCATGATGACCCTGTGTGTTACAGAGTAGTCCTGCTTCATAGGGTTTTCTTGGCTATAATCTTTATGGCTCTCATCCACAAGAGCCAAAGTACAACCTTGAGTATATCCACCTTAATTTAGAGACTATCTCAAGAATAGATTTGATGCACTGGACACTAATGACCAAAGACCAGACAAGTTGTGGGATGACATCAAGGACACCATACATGAAGAAAGCGAAAGGTCATTAAAAAGACAGGAAAGAAAGAAGAGGCCAAAATGGATGTCAGAAGAGACTCTGAAACTTGCTCTTGAACGTCGAGTAGCTAAAGCAAATGGAAGAAATGGTGAAGTAAAAGAGCTGAACAGAAGATTTCAAAGGACGGCTCAAGAAGACAAAGTAAAGTATTATAATGAAATGTGTAAAGACCTGGAGTTAGAAAACCAAAAGAGAATTCACTCAGCATTTCTCAAGATGAAAGAACTGAAGAAAAAATTCAAGCCTTGAGTTGAAATACTGAAGGATTCAATGGGCAAAATACTGAACGATGAAAGAAACATCAAAAGAAGATGGAAGGAATACATAAAGCCACTGCACCAAAAAGAACTGGTCGACTTTCAGCCATTTCAGGAGGTAGCATATGACCAAGAACCAATGGCATTGAAGAAAGAAGTCCAAGATGCACTGAAGGCATAGGCGAAAAACAAGGCTCCAGGAATTGACAGAATACCAATTAAGATGTTTCAACAAACAGATGTAACTCTGGAAGCGCTCACTCGTCTATGCCAAGAAATTAAGAAGACAGCTACCTGGCCAACTGACTGGAAGAGATCAATGTTCATTCCCATTCCAAAGAAACGTGATCCATCAGAATGCAGAAATTATTGAATAATATCATTAATATCACACGCAAGTAAAATTTTGCTGAAGATAATTCAAAAAATGGTTACAGCAGTACATTGACAGGAAATTGCCAGAAATTCAAGCAGGACTCAGAAGAGGCGAACGAGTGATATCATTGCTGATGTCAGATGGATCTTGGCTGAAAGCAGAGAATACCAGAAAGATGTTTACCTGTGTTTTATGGACTATGCAAAGGCATTCAACTGTGTGGATCATAACAAATTATGGATAATACTGCAAAGAATAGAAATTCCAGAACACTTAATCGTGCTCATGAGGAACCCATAAAAGGGGATACCGCATGAATAAAATCAGGAAAGGTGTACATCCTTTCACCATACTTATTCAATCTGTATGCTGAGTAAATAATTCGAGAAGGTGGACTATAGGAAAAGAATGAGGCATCAGGATTAGAATAAGACTCATTAACAACCTGCACTCTGCAGATGACACAACCTTGCTTGACAAAAGCCAACAGGACTTGAAGCACTTACCGATGAAGATTAAAGACTACAGCCTTCAGTATGGATTACACCTCAACATAAAGAAAACAAAAATCCTCACAACTAGGCCAATAAGCAACATCACGATAAATGGAGAAAATATTGAAGTTGTCAAGGATTTCATTTTACTTGGATCTACAATCAACGCCCATGGAAGCAGCAGTCAAAAAATCAAACAATGTATTGCATTGAGCAAATATGCTGCAAAAGACCTCTTTAAAGTGTTAAAAAGCAAAGACAACACTTTGAGGACTAAGGTGTGCCTGACCCAAGCCATGGTATTTTCAATCACCTCATATATGTGCTAGAGGTGGACAATGAATAAGGAAGAACTGATGAGTTTGAATTATGGTGTTGGTGAAGAATATTGAATATACCATGGACTGCCGGAGAATAAACAAATCTGTCTTGGGAGAAGAAGAGTCTGAATGCTCCTTAGAAGTGAGGATGGCGAGTCTTCGTCTCACATACTTGGGACATGTTATCAGGAGGAATCAGTCCCTGGAAAAGGACATCATGCTTGGTAAAGTAGAGGGTCAGTGAAACAGATAAAGATGCTCAACGAGATGGATTGACACAGTAGCTGCAACAATGGGATCAAACATAGCAACGATTGTGAGGATGGCGCAGGACCGGGCAGTATTTCGTTCTGTTGCACATAGGGTCACTATGACAGCACCTAGCAACAACAACACAATCTTTATTGAAGCAGATTGTCAGGGCTTTCTTCCATGGCACCACTGGGTGGGTTTGAACCACCGATCTTTAGGTTGATAGTCGAGTGCGAACTGTTTGTGGCACCCACGAACGTTTTGGATGTCCTATAGGGAGCCCAAAGTCAAAGTGTCCCAAACTGAACTTGACATCTTGCCTCCTGCCTTCCTCCCACACCCATTCTGAACTGGCTTCTCCACTTTTATTTCTGACCTTAGTTGCCCAAGCCAGAAATCTGGAATTCATCCAAGCTTCCTCCCTTCCCTTATTCTCTCCCTTTCAATCTGCCACCACTTCCTTAAAACCTTAGGGTTGGCCCTCTCTCCATCCTCACTGCCAGCCTCGGTTCAGGCTCTCATAACTTGTTATCTGGATTAGGGCTTCCTAACCAATCTCTCCGTCTACAGTCTTGCCCCCATGGTGCTTGCCCATTTCCCAGCTTTAAATCCTTCAATGTTGCCCATCACTCAGGCTCAGGATAAAATTTAGGCTCCTTAGCATGACTTAAAGGCCTTTCATGATGTGATCTTTGTCTAGCTCTCTAGTCTGCTCCCTTCTACTACACCACACGTACCCTGAGCTCCATCTGGTAAATTACAGTGCAATACAGTTCCTCACACTATCAGCACTTTCTTGCCCTTGGGATATTGCACCTGTTATTTCTTTTTCCTAGGACACCCTTTTACCCCCTACTCTGCCACCTTCACCCCTATTCCTCCTGCAATGCCCAGCCCAGAAGTCACTTCCAGAAAGCCTTCCAAAATGCCCCCTGTCTGGGAAGGGTGGGCCTCTGCTAGGCTGCCAATAGCATCATGGATGACATTTGTCAACATGCAGTTTACTTGTCTGTTTACCAGTCCCTTGTTCCTAGGAGACTATAAGACACTTCAAAAATAGACTGTTTCTTTATTTTAAATCCCTAGGGCCTGGCAGAGAGTCTGGGACATTGGGTTGTTGTTATTTGCCATCAAGTTGATTCTCGCTCACGGTGACCCTATGTCCCTGGATAGTTCAAACAGTTAAGTGCTCAACTACTAACCTTGAAAACCCAATAGAGCACAGTTCTACTCTGCATACATGGGGTTGTCATGATAGGACATAGGAAATGCCTGATAAATGTCAAATGAATAAAGGAGTTATTTAATATGATGAATGAATGAATGAATAATAAACTGTGTCTTAGCACTTGAGTCCTCTTGATTCCTCTCTATACTCTCTGGTTTCTGAAGCACAGCCTGCCCTGAATTTTGCTTGCATTAACGTCAGGATTTCTGATCACCTGTTGCTGACCCAATGGCCCCAACTACATCTTCTACTTCAGCACATTTCTGGTTCTCCCAGTCTCAGCTTTTTGCCCCACTGCCCTGTTCCACCCCAGCCTCCCATGCCCCCGGCACCGACAAACAAGGCTGTTACGGTGATGACATAAATTAGTGATTTTACTAAACACTGAAGCAAGCAAGAGTGTAAAAGTAAAAAAAATTCTGATCTTAAAAACATAGCTTCAAGATCTGTCTTAGCAGCTTTCAAAGCTTAAATATTTTATTGCCAAATACCAGCAATTTTTATAACCTTGTATTCACCAGGCCTCATAACACATGCCCAAGTTGCCCTTTATAATGGCTTATATTTTCTTCTCTTGACTCTACCATGTTCTTAGATATATTACTAGGTGACTGGTAGGGAGTAACAGCCATAAGTGATAGATCCTCTGAGAAGATAAGCGGGCTAAATACATATAGAAACAGAATTCTAGGCCCTGTAACACAAAGATAGCTTAATCTTTAGCAAAACATTTCCTACCAGTACATTTCTACTCCCCCCAACATAGAGAAAACATGATGCTATAAAGTCATTTGTATTTATCCATGCCCAATTTCCTAATAACAATTTTTAAAAACAGGATAAAATTTATTACCAGTCTTCTTTGCAAATAGGGAGAGTCCTGGGTTATTCTTTTGGAAAAATCTTGAACCTGCAGTGAAAACAATGCAATATTTCATTAATGGCATTGTGTCACATGTTTGAATTTGTTTACTTCTATTGTTCATAACAAGCTTTAAAAGTATTACTTTAGCCTTCAGTTGATCGGTCTGTTCTTTTAACTTCTGACACATCTTTTTCCCTTTTGATATATTTTGAAATATGTAAGAACTGGAGGAAGAGTCTTCCTGAGAAGTTGATGACAATTTAAAGAGACTTGTCTTGGATTCTATTCCTATATAAGAAAGAATAAGTTTTGGCTACCACTTATATCAACTTATCACAGTTTTTTTAAGTACTGAAAACAGAAGTCTGTGGCGATCACCCCTATTTACTATTTTTCAAAAAGCCCACAATATGTACATCCACTTCTAAGAAGTTTAAAAATGATAGTACCTGTAAGAAGTTCTTGGTGGATATGTGCTGTAGGTTCCATCTACACAAGGAAAGGATGAGAAAACATTACTGCTGCTTAACAAAGCCATTATTCAGAATGACCAGATGCGTTCTGGTCATCACAGAGGTAGTCAGTGTTGTGGTCAAGAGCCAGGGCCCTGATGCTAAGGTTGAATTCCAGTTCTAATACTTACCTGCTGGGTGACCCTGCAATTGCTTAATCATTTGAAGCCTAAGATTCTTTTTTTTTTTTTGTACTTTAGATGAAGGTTTACAGAGCAAACAAGATTCTCATTAAACGATTAATACACATATTGTTTTGTGACATTGGTTGTCAACCCACAACAAGCTAACACTCTCCCCTTCTTGACCTTGGGTTCACTATTACCAGCTTTCCTGTCCCCTTCTGCCTTCTCATCCTTGCCCCTGGGCTGGTGTGCCCATTAAGTCTTGTTTTGTTTTATGGGCCTGTCTAATCTTTGGCTGAAGGGTGAACCTCAGGAGTGACTTCATTACTGAGCTATAAGGGTTTCGCGGGGCCCTACTCTTGGGGTTTCTCCAGTCTCTCTCAGGCCAGTAAGTCTGGTCTTTTTTTTGTAAGTTAGAATTTTGTTCTACCTTTTTCTCCAGCTCTGCCTGGGACCCTCTATTGTGATCCCTGTCAGAGCAGCCAGTGGTGGTAGCCAGGTACCATCTAGTTGTGCTGGACTCAGTCTGGTGGAGGCTGTGGTACTTGTGGTCCATTAGTCCTTTGGACTAATCTTTCCCTAGTGTCTTGGGTTTTCTTCTTTCTCCCTTGCTCCTGAGGGGGTGAGACCAGTGTAGTATCTCAGATGGTCACTCACAAGCTTTTAAGACCCCGGACTAGCCTTAGATTCTTTAGCAGTACAATAGGGATAGTAATAGAACCTACCTCATGGGTTGCTATGAGGATTAAATATTAAATATTTACCATGTCTGGCATGTACTAAGCATTCAATACATGCTAGCCATTATTACTATTGTATCTGATACTATTATGTGGAATACTCAAACATTTCTTCTCTTGAAACTAGGCATAAGCTCCATGAGGACAGGGACTGTTGTTGGGCTTGTCACAGCTCTGTTGATGGTGCTCTCACTAGCACCAAACACTTAGTAACCATGGTCCTGAGAATAATAGAAAACAGTGTGCGTTAAGTTCCAAAATGCGTGTCAAGACAGTGATTGTTTACACAGGACTTGACCCTTTTCTACTTGCCACAGGCTGACTGGACAGGGGTTCATAATTCCAGAGTGACTCACTTTGAGGCCTTTATCATTGTTCCCATCACATAAAGCCCAAAAACATGCTGGAGCCAGAGAGATAAATGCTTAGTGGACAAATTAGACTATGATTGTTATGAATATCTCAAGTACACTACAGATGTGAAACCTATAGAGCTCAGTTCTCCAATCCGACTCGACAGGACTGGAGAAAATCAGACAGCAGACCTCAGACTCCCACTGCCTGAGGGAGGTGAGCCTGATGTCCATTCTGCTCTGAATAACCTCAGGGCACTGAGCACTGTGTGCACCCAGAGACTTTCTCTCTCCAGCACAATGAGGAACCCTGAGACTTCCCAATGTCAGTGGGGTACAGATCTCTCCAACACCTAGAAAAGCATCCCAGTTGTGGCAGATGGGCTGCTGCCTACAGGAGGGGGGTTCTACTCCCCAGAGGGTTTAGTTGAAAGAAAAGAGAGTTGAAGCATGAAGGAATGGAAATGGAAATAGTAGAGTGGATTATTCCCTTTCAGGGTGCCTTTCATAAAGGAGCTTAAAAGAAAAATCATACAGTCCTGGAAAAGTGCCAAAAACTAAAATGTTTACTTTAGTCATCAAAATGAATTTGCCTTACTATACCAAAACCAATCCATTGCCGTCGAGTCGATTCTGACTCATAGCAACCCTATAGGACTGAGTAGAACTGCCCCATAGAGTTTCCAAGGAACACCTGATGGATTTGAACTGCCAACCTTTTGGTTAGCAGCTGTAGCACTTAGCCACTATGCCACCTTACTATAGAACCTCAAAAAATCAATGAGAACATATTGGGGAGTTGGGTAGAAGGATGGGAAGATGAGGTAAGAGGAAAAAGGAATTGGCAGAATTTAAGCATTAACAAAATTTTGCACTAAACAATTATCAATATAACAGCTTGAAGTATGTTATCTAAGATCTTAATTCAATTCGATGTAGCATTAATAACTAAGGGTATAATATATGTAAGACACAAGGCCAGGTCTCTGGGGGAAGTTAGGCAATGGAAAGATAAGACAAGATTGCTGCCCTCCAGAGTCTTCCAATCTAGTGGAAGAAAGAGATACTTCTCCAAATTATTATGACACAAAGCATCCTGAGATAAATGTTCTGACAGAAGCACAAAACAAACAAGGGTGGGAAAGAGTATGACTTGGGGGAATCTGAAAATTCCTGTGGCACAAGTAGGACTTGAATAAGGCCATGAAAATAAGCAGGTCTTGGGTAAGTAGAGACGACGGGACAGTCCATGCAAGGCAGGTGCTCAGAGAGTTCAGGATCTGAGGAGAGGTTCCAACCAGCCAGTTAACAGGATGACAGTCCGGGAGGAAAGGAGCTTGTATTCTCAGACAAGGTTAACCAGTTGCTGTCGCATCAGTTTCAACTCATGACAACCCCTTGTGTGTAGAACTGTTCTCCCCATGAGGTTTTCAATGGCTGATTTTTCAGAAGTAGATTGCCAGGTTTTTCTTTGGAGGCACCTCTGGGTGGACTCAAACCTCCAAGTTTTCAGTTAGCAGCTGAGCACTCTAACTGTTCATAACACCCAAGGACTCCTTAGAAGGGTAGGATGAAGTAAAAAAAAAAAAAAAAAAAAAGGAGAGGCCCAAAGTCCATGTTGAAGAATTTAGTAGATTTTGTTCTCTTATAATTAGGCCAGCCCCTGATTTTTCCAGTGAGGACATCCACCAAGCTTCTGAGAAGTCATTTACTCGGGGTGATCCAGAACGAGAACTAGAACCCAGCTCCATGCTCCCTCCTAAAATCCACAGTGATATAGATGAGCTGTGATACTAATTATGTATTCACTGGAGACTACTTTCTCTTACCTGTATTTCTCGTGAAGTTTCAACAGTTTCCTTTTTCTGCTCTTGATGTTGTTTTTCAACACAATTTGATCTAGGCATAGTTTCTAAAAGATCTTGCACAAGAGCTGATTCATCTCTGAAGTCAGGAGAAGATCTGACTTGTCTGGATACTGTAAGTGGTTTATTAATTATATTATTTTTAGGGATTTTCACTTTGGGAGCAATCTTAGAGAAATCAGGGAGCTGATAATGAACTTGACCTTGGCCATATTTGAATCCACTCCAGGAACTTGATTTTTCAGTCTGTTGTTTCTGGGGTGACTGCCCTTGGAAACTTTTTTGTTTATCATCTGGACTCTTGGTTTTAGTTAGAAAGTTTGAATTCCCTTGAAGGCTGCTGTGTCCAGCAACCACTGGCTCTTCTAAATCAGAGATGTTTTCTTCTTTTGTGATTGGAGAAAAACTGGGCTTACTGCTGTCTTCACCACCCCTTCTGGGGTTGAGTTGGTCATCAAGTTCTGGGATTTGTTCTTTTGGCCAAGATTTCTTAAAATAACACAAAATAATATTTTTAATAATAGGTTCATCAAAACCATCAGCATTAGAGATCTCTGGGAGAGTTTCACAATCAATACCTTGGCCTTTTATGAATTCCTCTTTGGAAAGATGATTGAGTAAAATATCAGAAATGTTTGACTTCGAAGTGCTTTCTTTATTAGGTGGAATATGAAGAATTACAGTGCATTGTTTCTCCCTATCATGTTTTTTGTTGACAGCATTTTCGGTAATTTTATCTAGAATCACGGCCATATCCGCATTTCTGCAGGCCTTATTATGTGTAGCCTTTCCCTGAGGGTCATCTACTGCTAAAATAATTTGATGTGAGACATTGAGAATGTCATTTTTTGTAAAATTGTAATCATTGCATATCTTAATTTGGGGGATAGCCCCATCATAAGGCAAATTCTCCTGCGGCATGTAAGTTGTATCTTCTGAAAAACCCTCTTCATCCGTGTATGTGCAGCCTGATCTCTCTTGTTCTCTGGTGCCTGATATTGATGTCTTTAATTGTAACAACAGATCTTCTGGTCTTCCTTGATCTTCATCGTGTGTCCTATTCTGTGGGAAATGAGAAGAGCCTCATTGTAAATTATACTGGAATAATGTATAAAATTATGCTTATCCTGGCATCTATAACTGACCAAACCCCGGATGCTTTTCATTTAGAGAAATTCAGTTATAAACATGAAGGCAAGCACAACCAAAAGCTAAATACTGGGTTAACATCATCAGTGGTATAAAAGTGAGGAATTAAAAAGAAAGGGAACCTTTAAATTTTTTAAGATTTTCATTCCTTAAATTTTGAGGGAGACACTGGTCTGTAGCTAATGACCAAAAATTTTCAACGTTTATTAACCTCTCTTAGGAGATACTATTTGAAATTTGTTCTTTCAAAATAGGATTTGGGGATGCAAGTGAAGGAGCCCTGGTGGCACAACAGTTAAACACTTGGATGCTAACCAAAAGGTTGGCGATTTGAACCCACTCAGCAGCTCTGTGGGAGAAAGACCTGGTGATCTGCTCCCACAACAATTACAGCCTAGAAACCCTATGAGGCAGTTCTATTCCATCGCATGGGGTCACTTTGAGTTGGAATCAACTCAGTGGCATCTAACAACAACAATAATCTCTAAAGTAGAAATTTGGGATGCACGTAAAGTGTTGGTTTTTAAAAGTACGGTGGCCATGATTTTTCTACACACCACTGATGGGTTTCTAAGTTGTGTGGCACTGGGAGCTGGCTCAGCTCAAACATTACCACCCACTTTCTCTGCTCTGGTGCTTTTTCTCCTGTCCCTCCAGACATTCTGATCTCCTTCTCCTGATTTTCCCTTGGATGCCCACAAGGGGCCCACAAGGACTGATGGAAATATGACCAAGGAACACTAGGGCCTTTTGAACACCTGGAGGCCAATCTGCAGCCAAGCTTCCTCCTCTAATTAGGACCCAAGCAGGAACCCAGTTGGAGAGGCTGCCTTTCTTTTAGCAATCCCGACCAGCTGCCACATCCCAGGACATAGCAGCGTCTCTTGAGAATTCATCAGAAAATGGTCAGAGCAAAACCAACTGCTGGTGGTATGAGCCTTTTTTTTTTTTTTTTTTTTAACAAAATTGAAGACACCCGTTTAGATATCTCATGCTTAATTAGTCACTCATGCTTGATTAGTGAACTTTTGGGGCAGCTCCTTAAAAGTAGTAAAAATTGCCTTAAGTTTTAGATGGAGTAACCAGGCTTGAAGGAGCCCTAGTGACACAATGGTTAAGCACTTGGCTGCTAACCGAAAGGTTGGCAATTCGAACCCACCCAGTGGCTCCAAGGGAGAAATACTGGTGATCTGCCCTGGTAAAGATTACAGCCTAGAAAATCCTATGGAGCAGATCCACTCTGTCACATCTGGTTGCTATGAGTCGAAAATTGACTCAATGGCACCCAACAACCAGGCTTTGACTCAATCTGAGCACCAGTACATCTTGGCTGTTTACTAGGCCAGGGTGACAGCAGCCACAGGTTGACCCTCACTGAGTAGACCAGCTCTCTTGCCACACCATAACAGGACTGGACTAGCTGATCTCTGAGATGCTCTCCACGTCCGAATTTTTCTGAGTCTATGAACTTGTAATTTATTAAATAAGCAAAGCAATATGTCTAACAAAAAAATTTTTTTGAGCTTAATCCTCTGAGAGAAAGGAGTACAAACTAAATGTGATAAAGACATTTGTGAAACATTGTACAAAAATCTTAATTTATAGATATACGCCCATGATAAAGGACCCAAATAAAAAATATATGTTTTATTGATGACAGAGAGAAATCACTGCAGGATTTCTTTAAATCATTTATAGTATCTAATATTTACTGTAAAATGAGATACATTTTCATCAGCAGAATTGCAGACTACTCTAACCCAAGCTGAAGGACAAGGGACAATGCTTCCATGGGAGTCAAAGTCATAATGGGAGAGTAGGAGATGAGAGACCTGGATTCCTGGCTGGCTCCCCAACCTATTAGCCATATGTTCTTGGGCAAGTTATTTACCTTTTCTGAGTCTCAGTTTCCTCTTCTGAAAAATATGGATAATAATACCTAGTTTACAGGCTTGCTAGATGATTGCTTACCTGAGATAATGCAAGTAAAGCACTTGGCATAGTGCCTGACTCAGAGTGAGTGCTCAACAAACAGTAGTTTAAAAATGATGTAAAAACAAACCAAATTCACTGTTGGAATACTGAAGAATGCCCAGGTACAGAAGGCTGGGCACCCTTTACCTGTGGGAATATTTAAAGGATAAAGGAAGAAATGGCACATGGGAGACACAATCTCTAAAAGAGACTCAAAATTATTTTTAAAATCTACCTGTAAATGAACATACGGTTTGATAGTGAAAAATATCACTAAATGATGTAAAATAAAATTTTGTCTATTTTCTGAGGGCCAAAAAAAAAAAAAAAACACAATATCTTTAAATGTCTACAGAGAATAGAGAAAAGGAAAACAAATTCAAATTCTAGTTTTGCAGAACACTTAATGACCCAAGCTACCACCCCAAACTCATCCTTATGCTCTCTTTGTACCCTGGGGCCCATTGCTGAGCTCCAACACTTCTGGCTAAGGATGAAAAGACTCTTTGGTAGCCAGATCCCAATTTCTAAAATATCATTCTGTTTAAACTGAAAAAATTTAATTTTTGCTATGACTTAAAAAAAGAAAGAGAGAGATCACCAAAATAAACCAGAAGCCTGGAGTCTCTTTCATTACACCCAGGAAAACAGCTTCTGTTATCATCGTCATCATCATTATTATTACTATTGTTATTTTGCAAAATATCAAGAGGATTTTTTTTCTGTAAAAGCAATCCACATCCTTAGCACTGTAATGGGTCCCTTACGGGTAGCTGGAAGAAACTGAAACATCTTCCCACATCAACACCCAGCTCAGTCTTGGAATCCAAAGACACCTTCAAATTCCAGTCAGAACCCAACAGAACCTTCCTACTGAGCCCAGTTTGCTTTACTGAAGTCAAGTGAATCATCTGGGGCCATGACTGCTCATGTAGCTACGCTGGCCATTATGTGCTCAGCAATAGCTCATAAATCACTCTGAGCAAGTGACCACTCTGAGCAAAGGAGGCCAGGACAGCACAGTCACCCCCCCCCGCCTGTAAAAACAGCTCCATCTGGGTGCTGTGCCGGGATGAGCAACAAGGTGATCACCATGCTAACAGCTATCCCCCGTGTGGTTTACTTTATTACGAAGTCTGAATTTGGCCCTGAAGTGCTGACTTAAGCTCACTAACTTGCCTTGTTCAAGAAAAGAGGACTATGGCTGGGAATCTACTGGACTCAATTAAGAATGTCTATAGGTGGGGAAAAAACAAAGCTCCTTAATTAGAGGCCAAAAATGGTCAGTGAATCATTGTTTCTGCCTGGTAGGTGATGTTCTTCTACTCACTCAGCCCATTTAGTGATAATACAACATTGTATATTGGAAGACTGCTTTCACCATCAAAGGAAAACTGAGAGGTAATGTGCCTGGGACAATCTCTCAACCTTTCCCCCTAATATCCTCTGTTCTGTGTTTAGATTTCTGTGAGCCTCCATATAAACCAGGGAGGGTGTATACGATGCAGAGGTAGAGGAGACAGCAGGCAGTGCTTCCGCCCATCCTTCCCTGCCTCCCTCCACTAAAGGAAGAGTTAGCACAGCCAGATAACACCCTCAAGTCCTAAATCCACTCTTCTAACATCAGCCCTACTGACTTTGCAATGACAAGGAGAGTTAACTGTTGTAGGCAATGATTCAACAATCGAAATTTCTTCTTCCTGCTTTATAAGTGTGTCATCTAGAATGTGAACAGATGACAGGGGCTTTAAGTAATGATCCACCAATATTTTGTACAACACAAAGCAGTAGGCTGCTCAATGTCTTCAACAGAGACAATACTATAATCAGCACAACGAGGTAAAACAAAGACAGCAGCAGTAGAAACTCACCTACATTGTGGTGTCTCTGGACAGCACAGGCTGAACTGCTTGCAGGGCCTTGCAACAGATGAGCAATCCTCTAATTTTAAGTCATCTTTTTTTCAATAGTTGGGAGTTGACTGCAGTTGAATAATAGAACAAAAACTGGGCTTCAAAATCATGATGTGCCTGCTTCTCCGGGGTTCCTTCAAGGGCAAGAAATCAGCTTTGAAGACCACACAGGGAACATACCCTGTGATCTAAAGTTTGATCTTTTTTTGTCTTTTAAGAGCATTAAAAAAAAGCCTAGTTTGACTCTTTTAATTTTTCACATTCCCTCCCTCTGTTCCTTGCTCAGGATTTCTATTTACCCATGGAAGAAAATAGGAGATGGCTCAGAAGAATGTGTCCTAGGCCACGCCCAAGGGTCAGGTATTCATGGATTTGTCTCCAGTGTACGGTGTTTTTAGATTAAAATATTTTCAGAGGTAATGTGATACAGGCCCCCTCTGCAGTGACTGCATTTGATGATGCTCTGGTAATCCTATCAGCTAACTTTACCTCAGAAATGCAGGGTGCCCACAAATGCAGTGTCTATGACTGTAACCATATACCATTCAATGTGGCAGTCTGGCTTCAGCCTGTATTGTTGAGTGGCAGAAGGGAGGCACTGTGATGGAGCAACAAATCAATCCAATACTCCCTCAGGAGCCAGAAGAATGTATTATTTACAGACAGTCTTAGAGATATATTCCTTCTGTGAGCGTGCATGAATCTGATGACCAGCTGTTACAAATTATTTATCTTGAAGTAATTTTAAAAGTCAGAAAAAAATCTTTTGAAACTATCAGTAAATGAGTATTTGGAGAAGCTGCTTCTTGGTGTTTTACCAGCAGCCTACGCTTGTTTTTTCCCTTGTTCTTTGGAAGGTCAACGCTGTCTTTTTATCCATTTTTATTCTTGACACAGCCATGTAAACATCATGGATTGTTTAATTTGTACTGTAAACCATGGACTTCTGCTGGGCTTTTGGAATATTGAGAAAACTCTTGCCAATTGTTTTTTTTAAATAATTCTTTTTTTTTTTATTATTGTACTTTAGATGAAGGTTTGCAGAGCAAACTAGTTTCTCATTAAACAATTAATGCACACATTGTTTTGTGACACTGGTTGCCAACCCCATGGCATGTCAGCACTCTCCCCTTTTCCACCTTGGGTTCCCCATTGCTGGTTTTCCTATCCTCTCCTGCCTTCTCATCCTTGCCCCTAGGCTAGTGTGCCCATTTAGTCTCATTTTGTTTTATGGACCTGTCTAATCTTTGGCTGAAGGGTGAGCCTCAGGAGTGACTTCATTACTGAGCTATAAGTGTGTCCACGGGCCATACTCTCAGGGTTTCTCCAGTCTCTGTCGGACCAGTAAGTCTAGTCTTTTAAAAAAATAATTCTTAATGATAAATTTTAAAGTACATTTACTCAAAGAAGTATGATAAAAAAGAAAAGAAAAAAACCTCATCCCTGAAACTTCTCTTTCTTTCCCTAAATGTTCTAACATAACATTGGCAACCTCTGTCTAGAGATAAGAAGGGCCAGAGTATCTCAGGAAAACCCTTCCCCCTTTATCTAGGGCCTTCTCCCTCTCTCCTCTGCCCTCCACCTCCTGATTAAAACAGGAAACACTGACTTAAAATTATAAAATCTTTTAAGATAATGAATAAAATGTCAAAAGAGCTATGCACCTCTAAATGGTTTTTTAGAAGATATGATCTTGATAAAAGTCTATCCTCACATTAGAAAAATTCTGGAGGATATATTCCCCAAATTTTTATGTGGTAGGGTTACAGATAAGTTTCATTATCTTTTTAGTGCTATTCTTTCATTTAGTAAACAAATATTTATGGAGCATACTTATTCAATGCTAGGTACTGGAATCAAAAAGTATATATAGAAAATGGTTAGGAGTATGGCCTTTGGTGCCAGACCGAGTTTGCAACTGGTCTGCTACTCACTAGCTGCGCAACCTTGGGCAAGTTGCTTTACTTTTCTGTTCCTCAGATTGCTCATCTATAAAATGGGGATATTAATAGCACTACTGTGTAGAGTTGTTGAGAGGATTACATTTGTTGATTTTTTAATCAACGCTTAGGAGCCCTGGTGGTGTACTGGTTAAGAGCTTCGCTGCTAATCAAAAGATTGGCAGCTCAAATCCACCAGCCGCCCCTTGGAAACCCCGTGGGCAGTTCTACTCTGTCCTATAGGGTCGCTATGAGTCAGAATTGAGACTGGAAGGCAATCGGTTTGGTTTTTTGGGTATGAACTAGGTGCTGTGCACAGGCACTAAGTTTTCAGCAGGCAACTGAACAGACACGATTGTTAGGATGCCTGAACACAGAAAACAAACATGATGTCACCAGTTTTCAAATGCCAAGACTGGATTCCCAAACAGACTTTTCATTTAAAACGTTTGCAACTCAAATGTTACAGATACAGAACATCACCAGGGGCATTGTCCAGGAATGCAGCCTGAGATTCTGATAAGCACGTCTCACAGGCAACCTGGTAGCAGGACCTAACACCCCTGACCTCCATGTAACTTACTATTTCCAGGTCTGATCAGATGAAAATGAAAATCAATGATGAATGAAACATATGGAACAAACCTAAACCTGACCTGAGCCCAGACTCAAGCCCAGTCAATCTGCAGCCTTAAATACAGCCAGCCAGATGAGCCCAGTTTTGATCATCCAAGTCACAGCCGACCCATAGACCCTTGCTTTTAGCTGCTGGGTTTAGGGGTAGTGCATTTTGAGGCAATGTATGGCTTATATATTCTCCCAAATTTCCACTTTACCAAAAACAAAACACACAACCAAAAAAAAAGGCACATTTCTTACCCCATTCGGAATCTCAGTATGGTATATGGGTCCCTGGTATTTAAAAAAAAAAAAAAAGATCTCAGGGACATCAAACAATAGGATAATTGGAAATATTGGTGTTGGTACCTGGGAAGTGAATGACTGGTGATAGTAACAAACCCTTTTGTGAACCAGGTAATTTTCAATTCTATGCGTTTAACAAAAGTGAAGGAGAGTCTAATTGAATGATCAGTTAGCAGATTATTTGAAATTTTTTTTATGGTAGATCACTGTGATTTTTTATATATAACTAAGAAAGGGTTCAAAAATTTAA